TAAAACAGATAAATGATTAGCAACTGTTGTGATATTGCATATGTAATTACTTAATCAGTTTAGATGACAGAAACAGAATATATATCTGTATTGTTTGTGAACTTTAAAAAGAAAGTTTCTCTAAAGGGCCTATCTATATAAGATCAATCACGTGTTAGATCATGCAATGAATAACATTTAGCAATGGTACCTAAATTTTTCAGAAGCTATTGCTAGAACATTACTGCTATAAATTCTGTATGTGACAAACAATGTTTTCACAGATACGAAAAATAGCGATACATTCTTGTTGCGATATCTAGAAATCTAACTACATCAGCGAAATATTTTTTTGAGTGAGTAATATTAATTACAATTATTAAAAAATATTAGTCAAGTTATTTTTTCCGAAAAATTACAGTTGACAATCTTAAATTGACACATTTTGTATCTATTTTTGAATCCTCTGCTTTGTTTTACATAAAAAAAAAAGAAGAAAAATTCTGAGATTTTGTGTAAACCTATCAATGCGAAACGATACAACGTGTTATATTATTCCACTGCATCCTCTTTATGAATAGCTGTAAAGCCCATGGAAAATTATGAATATCCATAAAAACATCGTGTTAGCTGCGACGAAGCGGCGATAACGTCGGGAATATGAAAGAGAAACAGCCTCGAATGTTTCCGCAATTCCGCGGAATCACGGAAAGTATGTTCGCGTTATCGTAAACTCCGCACTATGTAACGAGGAGGAGAAAATATCAAGCCAACTATTTACACACTTCCTTTTCGCAAAATATTAAAAAATTACAAATTTTTGTCGGACATATCACTCGCAAAAGAATTAAGACTTAAATTAAAACTCAAGATTTTGTGATTAATGAGAAACCTTAATTTGTGAAATAATATAACTAAAAGTTAATTAAAAATTAAAATTTTTATCCCAATTGCTGGATGAATTAGCAGAAAAAGCTTTCTATTTTCTATGTTTACAATCTTCCTAAGTTCTAAATTATCAAAGCTATCACATATTGCAAGCAGAATAGACGCAGGGAAAAATTGATCAGGGAGTATGCGAAAGCTTCATCTCGCTTCAATCCCGTCTTGAATGGAATAGAGAAATTGCAGATATCTCCGCAAAATATTTTCGCGACCGACGTGCCAACAGCGCGTGCGGAAAAACCCGATGGGAAAGCTTCTCCGAGGCATTCATCAGTATCGTACGCAGTTGTCGCCGAGTGGATGATGGAGCGATAATGACATTCGATCCGGCGATGGCCGGAATATTTGCACGGGCCCGCCGGCGGTTCCGCCGCCTTCTCGTCGCTCTCTCCTCCCTTCTTCTCTTCCTCAACCCTTGCGACGCAATGCACAATCGTGCCTTCGCATAACTTCGACGCGATCGGTCCGCATGCATCTGTATACGCATTCCGCGCATGCGATTTATCGCTGCGTGATGAATTAGCGCGCAAACAGTGCGAATTGCCGTCGATTGTTAATCCCTTTGGAATCGCCGATTGCAATTACGTGCGAGAAAGTGGAAGAGTTTAAACTGTTTGTAAACAAGAAAAAATTATTTAAATTAAAAATTTATTTACATGTATATTGAATGTGTATTAAATGAAATTTATTGAACGCGTATTCAATGTTTAATACGTTTTAAAACTAAATTGCAACAAAGTTAAAATTTATTAAAATATTCATTCAAAAATAGTCGTATGTGAAGTTTTAATGAAACCTAGTATTGGTAATAATTGGTATAAAACTGTAAAAAATATTTCAGCATTTTTAAATAAAATTATCGTCAGGGTGTAATATCTCAAATTTTAAAAGTTAATTAAAAAGTTAATTAAAAGAGATAATTTAATTGTAAAAACAATTTAAATCTTGAAAAATTGAACAGCCAAGTTGCTCTGATCGAATAATTGCTCATGTGTCATCATTAAATTATT